CTATGATTTTAGCATATGGCTGCAATATAACAGAGTGAAAAATTTAAGGGGGTCTGAATACTTTCTGTACCCACTGTATATAGTTTGCAATGTCAGGTATGTTTAGGACATACTAGAATGTGATAATATGATAGATGTTGACTGCAAACATGTTTTTTGACATAATCACATTTTTATGGTTAAAAAAATCAGGAACTCATGTTACAATACTGGAGCAAATTCATTATCTTCCCCCACCAATGACACTCTGTTTCAATACTATTACGTTTTTATATTCAAATTGGTAACAGATTATAAGATATTCTAATGTGTTAGAAAATTTAATTTGTAACATTTAAGCAGGCAAGCGTACAAAAGCAGCGGGAAATAATCCCTATAGATATATTTACAAACTACACTTCCCAGGTAACTTTGAAAGCGCGTTCATCATTACGCAAGCGCAAAAAAAATAGAACTACGGCAAGTGAAATAGGACGTGACGTGCGTTATCGCATACGCATAATGTTTGGTAGGGTCGTTTGGACAAATAGGTTCTGGGAAACCCTGGAAGAGGAGCCAAATATTTCTAGATGCCACTGAAAAGAACCGCATGGCGGACGCGTTCTTTAAGGAAAACTTGAGCCAGGTAACTTATGCGCTTTAGGATTTTCAGTAGAGATATATCGCTGTTAGTGAGATAGCTGGAGGATGGCAGAGTTGACATTTACCGGCGGAGTGGTGCTAACGTTAGCTTGGTGTAACCTACCCGCACCATGTACCCCCAGCGACCGCCTCACCCACTACAGCCTCTTTGTACCTATAGCCCCCGAAGTGATGGCTTGCATGCTGCTCTTCATTATATGACGCTTACCAGGGTGGTTACCCTGCCAGTTTATCCCCAGTCAACTACGCGCCTGTCTGAATTTAGCCGGGTTGAAATGCGTTAAACCGCAGTTTGAGACAGACGCCGCAGTCGTTTTGTTATTAAGGGGGTTTCCGAGGTCAGGTTAAAGCAGTCTGCTTATAAGTTTATTTACAGCCCATGCTCTAGCTTTGTACTAATATGAGGGAGTGCTTACTGACAGGTTCAAGCCAGAATTATTATGGTTATCTTAATTGGCTTAGAATGGGAACTGAGTGGCGGTTAAGTTAGCAAGCGAGCATCACTGTCTACTGGGGCTTCCTTAAACTGACTGGTTTGGGCCAGATGGCTGAGGCTAATTAAAGGACCGTTGAAGGCTGTATGGATCCTTTTGATAACAGATGCATTAAGTTAACCCCTCCGTGACAGATCCTTACGTCCGGTCGGACCACCCTATTCCCTCATTTTGACTTAAAACTACACATTTTTATGCGGTAAAGGGTTGGTAAAGAACATAGTGGCTGAGATGGTGAGAAAAATAAAGACCAAACTGCACTCTGTGATCGGTAATGGATGTGCATGTAAACATATCCAGTTCAGAAAGAGATCCAGAAAACATCACGTTTAACCAATATGTAGATCTAGGGTCCCAGGTGATATTATTCTCATGTGATGTTGACTTGATATAAGCTGGGGTATTTGTTTGTGGTATATGGTGAAATAAACACATAACTGGGTGCTATGAATTAGGGTAATAATTGATTTATTGCCATATTATAAGCATGATATCAGTGTAACTCAACAGATAATCATTTGAAATGCAAAATAACAGCTTTAAAAAGCAGAAATCAAATTGCTAGAGGAGAACAAAATGTTCTACATCTTGTTGTTATTGAGTAATAGCACTGTCTGGCCACAATCTGCTGCATTAGCATATAAGTAACAAATAAGAGAGCCAGTGTTTGCAGTAAAAAAAGGAAACAGCCCTGCCTTGGTGTCATAAGAGAGCGTGTTGTAATGTTGCCAGTGTATTGACATGGTACAAAGATACATTACTACATATTGCATGCGTGACCGTGACGGGAAGAGTGCATTGTTTTTACTGGTTCAGAGAAGGTGTAAACAAGATTGGCAGACTTGTGCATGTGTGAGGCGTGTTCTTTTTATATTGAAAAGAGAAGACTAATAGGAGGATATATATTTCACAGTGTGAACTTTATTATGCATTAACATATCAAAATTAGAATGTGCACATGGATCTTTACTGTTTAGGATAAACAGAAAAGACTGACCTCAACTTAGTGGTATACAATCTTTGTATGAAAAGGTGCTACTATCTAATTGGTCAAAAACTGTTGGGAAGAAGCCGTGGTTTAGACTTAACTCTCCCGTTATTGGTCCTTCAGTCCGTCTGTCCTCCAATCGTCCTCTCTGCTCCAATCATCGTGGACAGCGCCCTAGAAAGGGGAACCTACATACACACTCACTTCTTCCTTTGGTTTCAACTAACTGCTCCATATTATGCATTGCTTTCCATTTCACTTAATTAAAACTGTTTTGCCTGTGTGTGTGTGCATAACTGTTCTCCCTTTGAAGCTTTCTAGTGACTCACACAGCAAATATTTGACCAGTGTTTCAGTGAACACATAGGGTGATATTCATAACTATATAAACATAACTGTGACATATAAGTATGTAAACTTATGTGTGCTATAAAATAAACCATTCTTAAGTGCATAAAATAAAAATCACCCTAACAATGTTTCCTCTGGTACTTGGACCAAGCAGAACAAACTCTTAATTTGAATGTAGATGTGAATGTGTTTGTCTAGACAAATACCCTCTCTGGGGGTGTTCCCCAACCTTTTACGCAATGCATGATACGATAGGCTTCACCTATGATACTGAGTTACCCAAGCCAAGTTAAACTTGCCCCTATTAGTCGATTTTCAGGCTGAACTTGAAAGATCTGTATCATAGCCCGACCTCGCTGCCGCTCCCCCCAGTCCGTCTCTGAATGTGTAAGGGGATAGTGTTGCTGTATGCAGCAAAAAGAGAAAACAGCCAGCAGCTACAGGCACAACCGGTTGAAACCACTCGAATCAGGATAAAACAGTGGCTCAGCTATATTCACCTGGGTTGTCGCTTTTTTCTAGGACAACTGACTAAATTGCACAGTTGATTTTACAGTTGGAAGGATAACCAAGGATGTTAGATTAATAGAGTATTTGACATTTTCTTGTTTTGAAACATGTTGGTGCCTGCATTTGTTGATTTTAGGTGCACAGGGTGAACTTAGTGATAAACCTTTTACCCACAAACTGGAGTTGCATTGCTCCATTTATGGTTTTCTTCTCTCATGAAATTATTTTCTGGTACTCGGTCATTTCCCCTCCATCCTCACCCTTCACTGAACTGATGCCTTTTTTCCACCCCATCCTCCCCCCTCGCTGTGACTACTGGTGGGTGCTATCAGTATAAAGATATTTTTGTCTCCAAAGTGCATGTCGGACACATTTTAGTTGTTTACATGAGAAACGGCAGAGAGTGAGACACACTTTGGCTGCTGTCCTGGGCCACCGTCCTTATCTATAGGAATCAAAACAGTATAGGTAGAAAGACACTGTATAAAGCATAGAAGCAGGTTCAGGTTCAAGGATTTTATTGTCAATTCATCATATGTGCAGGACATACAGAAATCGAAATACTGTTTCTCTCTCACCTAGTATTGGGTGCCATAACATTTAGGAACTAAAGTAGAATAAAAATAGAATAGAATAAGAACTGGATTGACGTAATTAGGATAAATCTAAACGGTACAGCCGTGACTCAAACCGTGTACAGTCAGTGTCAGTAGTGCAAACAATAATAGGAGATTGTCAGATGGTTCAGCATCACCAGGGTGTTGGTGATGAGGTGCCAATAGCATATGAGGTATACATGGACAGTACTGTAAATGACCAACAGCAGCAGATATCCTGGCAAACCAGTCAGCAGCAGATTTACATATAACATAACAGATGGTAAAACAGCAGAGAGTTTTTTTTTTGTTTGTTTCTGTGGTGGGTTATTGTCTAGGGGCAGTGGTGGGGAGGTAATGGACAGCGTTCAGCATCCCCACAGCCTGGTGGATAGAGTAGAGTAGAGTAGGCACTTTATTCATCCCACAGTGGGGAAATTTGTGGGGAAGCTGTTTGTAAGTCTGGTGGAGTGGGTCTGAAGACTCCGATACCTTCTCCCTGAAGGCAGGAGTCTGAAGTGGGAGTGTGAGGGGTGGGAGGTGTTGTCAGCAATGCTGATGGCTCTGCGGGTGAGGCGCCTGTTAAAGATGTCTGTAACGGACACTGTTTAAGTGTAGTTTTTATGTGGAAAAAGGGGACATCCTTAACTATCTGTGTATGTATCTCTGATAGCTGAATGTAACTGGAATGCTACACATACGCAAAATTTTAGAAAAGGAATCAGTCCTTTGGTGCAGGAAGGTTTTTGACACATTTAGGTGCAGAAGGAGGCCTGTTGTAGATTTTCTTTTGAATGCTTAGTGGCAGACAACCAGTTTGCTTCAATGGAGAACCACACCTGTGAAAGAGAACATTGTAGAGACCACCATTACCTCAGCATCGCCTGGGAGATAGCCTAGTTCAGGTCAGCACAGCTCCACTAGCTAATCTGTGACCCCTATCCCTCAACATCCCTTAACACCCTTTCTAACTTTTTCACCATGGCAGTGAGTCACCATGGCATCAGTGCGCTTCACGGTGACACCCACCAAGGCGGAGGACATTCCAGGGCTGTCTGACACATCGCCTGACCTCAGCTCACTCTCCGGCACCCGTGTGCGCTTTGGCTCCAGGGAGAGCATCAACCGAAGTGACCCGTTCAGTGAGGGATCAGGAGGCATTACAACTACTGCCACAGCAGGAGGAGGAGGGGCCGACACCTCAGAGCAAGGTGGACAGCACGCACATCTACGCTGACATCATGTGACATTACTGTGGTTTCAAGGCGCACCTGGTTTACAGGTTTAAAATATGCCCATAGACTGTATATAGAGATGGATGACATGACCGCTCCCAGAAATGAAGCTGCCACAATTTGATTGCCCCCTGGTGGTTGCAGTTTAGGTCATAAACGCCGCACCCTCTGTGTTAGCGGATGTGACATGAGCCAAACAAAAAATGCAAATCAAATACGTTTTTCTAAAAGGTTGTTTCTGTCATTTTAGGCAGACATTATCACACAGATTTGTGTAAATGTGGTCATTTGTTTTTAATAACATATTTGATGTAACAAAGGCTGTATTTCAGATGATTTGGCAGCTTTGACAGGTGGCCTGATACCACATCGCCACCTCAGATCAGTTCTGCACAGAACCCGGTTTTAAATGTGTCACAAAGAGCAAGATGGCTACCCCAGTATTAGCGATAATTTGGCTTTTGACATAGTAGCAGGAAGTGGTGATTCTATCCATCTGTCTGTATCTATCCATCTGTCTGTCTGTATCTATCTATCACAACTTTCATTCTGTTGTATGTAATCCCACTGCTTTGTTTGTTACAGCCAGAGAATCCACTGTTGAATCCATTTGTTTGAGACGTAACAACCAGATTTTACATTGCCTGAGTAACAGAAGCTTCTCATGTCACATCTTCATGGACTGTTGAACGTGTTTTATTTCTGCTTTGTTTTAGCACTGATGAAGAAAGAAGTGGATTAGTTAAACAACGCAACAAAGATATCAAAAAGAACTAGTTGTTAAAATAGTACTAGACAATATTTATCAGAATATGTTTGCTATATATTGATTTGCTAATTAGTATTTGCTTCATTAATCTCTTGTCATGTTCACAGAGTACCATTCATCAGTAGCAGTTTCACACATATGCAAGTGTAAAATCAGTTTGCTACACTGGGCTCAGTTGCAGAGAGCACAGTGGCACAGTAATCTTGCTGTGGTTTTATTTATCATCTCGTTGTTTGCCCGTGTGTACTTTTCTGGATTTGCCCATATCTGTTCTCATGGGGCCTCGGAGCACTAGCTGATGTGTGCTAGACTGGGTTCCCATGCTTAGAAAATCCCAGGAGTGAGCTGGTCAGAGAGGCGTTTACTGAGGCTCACGAGGTTTCAAATAGCTCTTCCCAAAATGTCAGATTTATGGGAAGTAAAAAGAGAAGTGCAAACTTTAGATTCATCCTCATGCATGTAAGCTTAACAGTGTATTTTAAAATGTGCATCATGGTTCGCTGGGTCGTTACTCTCTTCCAGTTGTTTTCTAAGAATGAGCTTGACCCCAGGTCTTGGACAAAATGATAGGAGAGGAGAGGATAACCTTTTGTTATCACGGTGTAGGTTGCACTTCCCCCACTGCTGATATCAGGCCACCTACAAAGCAAATACAGTGTTTCAGTTCTTTACCTAGTGGCAGCTGGCAGCAGAAACCTTTTCATACTGATTCAGTTTTAACACAGGTACAGATGTACAGCTAGTAAGTCTAGTCTAACATGAAATAGTCACAATCCAGATGACTAAATGTAAAAAAATGAATGTGCAGTAGTTATGTTACTATGCTGATTCACAGGCTTGATAATGGCATTATAATCATGGAGAAGTGTAACTGTATGAGCTGCACTGATCTGTTTAAGCAGTCGGTAGCAATAAACATGGCCCACGTTGATTAATAAGCTTCCATAAATAGAAATCGAGCCAGTTGATCCAGTGGAGTCTCAGTCAGGGTGTAGGTGTGTATACAGGGAAGCAAAGTGGGAGATTGTTGGAGACACAACTGCACAGCTTTTCCTATGCAGCCTGTCTGTCACCCACTGTGATAAAATAAAAATAAAAAAAGTCATAAATAGCACAGCAGCTGTATTCCAGTCGGCTGAAATACAAAACCAGCATGCTGACAAGAAAAGTGTTGTTGAAGTGAATGAGTGAAGATCCTGAAAGGCGATGAAGCGGAAAGGACGCGGGAGGAGTGAGGAAAGATTTTCAGAACAATCAAATAATCAGTGATCCGTAATTTTGGATGACAATAAAATTAGCTGCTGAGTTTGATGTGCTTACCAGTCCACACACTCATCGTAGTGGATTTCTGTTTCACTGGCTCCTCACAGAGTCAGAAAGGCTTCAAATGTGGTAATCTCAGGTCGGGGACTCTCCTCTTGGGTATCTTTGACAAAAAGACAGCTGTGTCCCTCTGTCAGTTGAGCAGCTCAGTATTTACAGAGCAGAGGATGGTTATGCTCTCCGCTCCACTGCTGACTGTCAGTGAAGTTGGCTAAACTACATTTGAACCAGTCGCCCTGGGCGATAGTGTGACTGGCGTGTGTTCAACCGTGAATGTGAGGTTGTCTGTTTAGGTGTCAGTCCTGTGATGAGCTGGGGACCAGGCTAGGGTGTACCCTGCCTCTTGCCCAATGTCAGCTGGGATGGGTTCCCAGATAGGTGGTATAAGATAGTGGATAGATGAATTCTTTGGCATTTTTCAAGCAAAAATAATAATTAAAAAAACCCCTCACACTATTATGTCAAATGAGAGTGAAAAAAATTAAGAAACAATGAAAATACTTTGTTGCAGCTCTACAGGACATTCACAGTAGCCAGAATAAAATACAGGGACCTGGACTATAGTTGAAAAAAGGGAGGAGGAGGATAGCAGAGCAACAAATGGCAAGAGTAAGATTTTCACACTACTCGACATGTTGATGTGTCATCAGCTAGGAAAAAGAAATGGAACAAAAATCTCAGGAAAAGCAGCAGAGGAGGGATGACAGCATTTATGTCTCTTTCTGCAAGAGTAACACAGTGTGTGTGGCCGTTTGCGTGAGTGTGGCCGAGCAGGGAGGGAAGTGATGTTGCTGAATCAGGTGCTCCTGTATTGACTGAGGCGGAACTAGCCTGTTGATGTGGTGGCCATCTCTGTGCGTTTGTGTCGGTGAGAAAACTGGACTGATCCCAATGAAAAGGCTACTATTAAAACTGGTTTTCTGCTGTTTCACTTTTTTCTTTTCTTCCTCTGTTTGCCTTTCTTCTCTCTCTCACAGTCTCCTTATTTGTGTGCAGGTGATGGAAATTCCAAAATCTCCAGTGTGTACATCAACAACAGTCATGGGATGGATGATGATGACTTCTACGACAGGAACTTGGCCTTATTTGAGGTTTGCAACGCAATATTGAGACTTTTATCTGTGAAGGGACATCATAATCATGTTATAATACAAACTTTGGTTTGTGTTTAAGGTGGAAAACATTTTTTTAAATGTTCACTTTTCTTGTTATAGAATGAGGTACATAGATAAAAATAAGAAGCTACAAATGGTGGCTGTTAATTTGCCAAATCGCCTGTGAACATAAAGCCAAAAATAACCAGCATTTGGCTGGTGGGTGCAGATAATTTCAGTTTGGAAAGAGCTTTGTTTTCTGTCTCCAACTTCTTTAACAGTGTGCTTCTTCCTCAACTTCCTGTTCTTTTACCTCCCAACTGTTCCCACTCTGTGCACTTGTTGTCCATTCTTTCCTCCATCTTTCTTGTATTCTTCATCTCCACCCTTTTTTTCCTTTCACCGTCTCCCTCTTCCACCTGCTCCTCTCGTTTCCTCTCCCTTCCTCCTGTTATCCTGTTACCTACTCCCCTTTTCCCCCTTCCCTTCTTCTCTACCCACAGGAGGAGATGGACACTCGGCCGAAGGTGTCTTCTCTGCTCAGCCGCCTGGCCAACTACACCAACCTGATGCAGGGAGCCAAGGAGCACGAAGAGGCTGAGGGCATCGGCGAGAAGAAGAAATCCAACAAGGTATGTCAGACTGGGTGCCTTAGTGACCTTTTTTAACTAATGATAATCTTTCAAATTCATCAATGCAGTAAAAACACCCAGCAAAATGTACACTTTCATTCATTATTCATCCTTTTATCATATGGTCACTGAATCCCTGTCTTAGATATGGTTTCATCTGCCTTGTGTGTAACTGAAAATAGAGCAGCCTGTGACCCCGACATGCACTGCAGTCCCTGCTGATAAGGAGCCGGCTGTCCTAGATAAGACAGACTGGCGTGGCAGTTTGAGTAATTTACCACATCCGCCTTTTTCTGATAGGACATTTGTCAACAGATAGCTGGGAAAATTAAACCAAAACGTGTTTAATCCTCCCTTTTGGCCACACAGTGTGTTCAGTGTAAGCAGCGTGGTGTGGTGCACTGATTTCCAGGGGGCAGTTCTGCAGTTGTCTGGGGTTATGTGGAAAGACTGTGATGCAGCTCAGTTAATTATAAAAATTAAACAATATGTCCACCTCTTTATGTTAGTACACCCCCCACCAGCCTGAGGCAGCTGTATGCACATACAGGAATAAAAGTTAAAACACTCACCTGGAGTCTTGTGTTTGGACTTTGATGCTGATAATCAGTTGGGCCTGATTTCTTTTCTCCTCCAGTCACCACAGATGGGGACGTTTATGGGCGTGTACCTGCCTTGTCTCCAGAACATCTTCGGTGTCATCTTGTTCCTGCGGTTGACGTGGGTGGTGGGCACTGCCGGGGTGCTGCAGGCCCTCTGTATTGTCTTCATATGCTGTTGCTGTGTGAGTACTTGAGTCTACAGCTTCAGCGCTGTGTGTTAGCAGGCTGGCATAGTGAGACAGAAAATGAAAACTTTCTTAATTTGCTGTTTGTCTGTCGCTTCTCACTAGACGATGTTAACTGCGATATCAATGAGTGCCATTGCCACTAATGGAGTTGTACCAGGTATGCCTTCACCTCTCTGTCTTTATTTATCCTCTCCATACGTGTGGATTGAATGGCTTAGGTGTGTCCTGCTCCACTAAACCTAAACACAAAATGTACCTCAAGTTGCAAATTGCATCTGCGGGCTCTTTATGTCAGACATATTTCTCTTTTTGTCATGTTCAGTGACCTGTGTTCAGCAGTAATAATACAGTAGAACACAACCAGTGAATACAGAGGTTAGGGCATACAGATATAGCTGGCAAACATTTTGCAGGCTTCAGTCTGAGACTCATCATCTACTATGAAGCTGTCTTTCCATAATAATCCACATTGTTATGGTGACCATTTTGAATTTACCCAGCTGTAGGGTTTTCCAGGTTTTCCCCCGTAGTTTTCCTTCTTATCTTCGAGCTATGGCGGTGCAGATAAACTATATATGTTTTTCTAATGGGTTTCATTTCTGTTTATCCTGTCTGTCCCTCTGTTTACCTCTGCGTCTCTGCCTGTACACAAATTTAAAAAACCCAGGATATTTATCCACCATTGACTTTCACTGAAACGCCTCAAGACAAATATCCCAAATGTCAAAGTAGTTTGATATTTCCACTAGCATGTGACATATCCATAACCGAACATAGAATGAAAATCTTTGGTAGAGAATTAATGTCTAACATGTTTGTTTGGCATCAGACATTTTGTTCCATGCTCTGTCTTTTTTTCCTCTCATCTGAACAGCTTCAAGCTCTCATACTTTCTCACTGTCTTGTCTCAGATGGTAGCTATATATGTTGTAAATGTAAAGGAGTAATCAAAAGTGTTTGGCTTCCCAAATACAGCTTAAAAAAACATTTCACTGATTGTATCACTGATCACTGTTTTGTTGTTGTACTTTCAGTCGCATTGTTCCAAATAGTCTGTCGCACTTATAGTGGTGGCATTCACTGAGTTTAGCTACGAGATATATCCTTGTGTTTCAGGTAGCGCAGACCTGCAACATCACATTCATATGCCCATTTTTGTTTCATTGATTATGCTGTTTCTGTCTAATGTATACGAAATATGTTAAAGCATTGCATTTTGGAAGCCAAACACTAAACTCTGAGCTTAAAGTCAGTAGTGAATTTGTAGTTTCTTTTATTGTACGAGTCCCTCATAGTGTATAGTCTGTTTATAACTGGGTCAAATTGTATCGGCAAATTATTCATATTGTTTGAACTCAGTTGTGTAGAGTAGTGCTATCTGCACAGAAGTCACAGCTCTGGAATCATCCTGGTTCTTTGATGAAACTGAAAAAAGCCTTAATTAAACTTGTGTTAGCAACTGCTACCACATCATATATAGTGATGCGTCACTTTCTACTGAACAAATCTCTGTGTATCTCTGCTGATACAGAACAAAATGAACCGCCCTCTCATGGATGGGTTGTTGGGTTGAATGAATAAATTGAAACTAAATGGGACATTTAGCTTTTTCTCATCATTTTTTTTACACTGCTCAGTACTTCAGGCGAATGAAAAACAGTGGTATAGACTTATTTATGGATACAGTTTGACCAAAGATCTGCTCTGTCTTCTTACTCCACTGTCATGTAAACATTATGCTTATTTCTACAAGCATAGGATGACATGTCTCATCAGCTGTCCTCTTATCTCCCCCTTTACCTCCTAATATCATAACATTACTAACCATCTAACATCCACCTCTGCCTTTTTATGTCCCATCTCTTCCTCTTGTCCAAAATCTGGTTTTCTCTCCTCTATTCCATTCACTTTACTATCTATTTCTCTCTATTTCTTTTCCTTCACCACATTACGTTTCGCTTTCCCTCTCTCCCTCACCATTTCCACTCATTCCATCCCTGACATACACCCACCCTTCCCCACTCTGTCCCCCCTACCCCCTCCAGCGGGAGGCTCCTACTTCATGATAAGCCGCTCACTGGGTCCAGAGTTTGGGGGGGCGGTGGGCCTATGTTTCTACTTAGGCACTACCTTTGCTGGAGCCATGTACATCCTGGGAGCCATCGAGATCCTTCTGGTAGGTTCTGGCTTTGTCAGCATCATCTATCGTCACCATTTAGCGTTCACCATCATTGTCTCTGTCATCCTTTTAGTGAGCGTCATTTCACCAGTTTCCTCTGTAGTAGTGGTTAAGGACAGATTCAGTTTCTCAGCAGTTTATTTGTTCCATTGTGGTTTTACTGTAGTAATGAGTGTTTATCTTAAAAAGAGATTATTGAAAACCATAATGCCAGCACCATTTTGCTCAGTGCTGAGAACAGGCTGTATATAACAGAACGGTATAGTGATTTTCCTGGAAAATGTTGAGATGCTTTTGACAGAATAAACAGTGGTAATGTTTGTTTTTCTTTAATCAGGCATGTCAGATACCTGGAAAATCAAAATTCTTCACATTGATGCAGATATTATGTAAACAGCCAGTAGCGTTGGCGTAAAACGGTCCTATTTTATCAGCCCCACACAGGTCTAATAAAAACAGGTCTAATTCCCATGGCATAAACAGCATGACCAAATCTCTGACAGGTTACAAATCATATCACTTACTAACTCATTATGAACAGTTACAGTGCCCTAAAAATGATCTGCATGATCTTGTATTTAGTTTTATGAATAGATTCTTATTGCATTAAATGAGTCTGTCTTTTCCTTGTCTCTGCTGTATTTTGTCACACTCTCATCACCCTCCCTCCTGCAGATGTACATAGCGCCCAAGGTGGCCATTTTTCATTCAGACTACCCTGAAGGCGAAGGGGCGGCCATGTTGAACAACATGCGGGTGTATGGCTCCATCTTTCTCCTCCTGATGTCGTTGCTGGTCTTTGTGGGCGTGAAGTACGTCAACAAGCTGGCCTCTATTTTTTTGGCTTGTGTCATCATCTCTATCATTTCCATCTATACCGGAGCGCTGGTGTCTGCCTTCAAACCGCCACATTTCCCGTAAGCGTTGGTTATGCATTTTCAAAAATACAGATCTGACTAATCCTTTAACTTGCATGGTTTTGACTGACCTGTTGACTTCTGTCTGCAGCGTGTGCATGTTGGGGAACAGAACTATCAACGCTCATGAAATGTATGACAGCCAGTGTGCAAAAACCTTCTTTATTATTAAAGATCCAGTGAAAAGCAGTGACACCAACTTCACAATAATTAATGGTGGGTCCCACTAATAATTGCTGTTTGCTTATTGCTGTCAATAATCATGAGGAGCAGGAGTTTGCTCTTTCTTTGCATACTGCTGTAAGTCCATACTGTTCTCCCCAGCAGAAAACACAACTGTAGGCCCAACTGCTGACCCCACCCACGCACCTGTTTTTGTGGAGAAGACCACAGATCTTTGGAAGCACTTTTGCCAGGGCCCAGAACTCAATGCCTCTTGTGACGAATACTTCACTTCAAACAATTTTACAGAGATTGAAGGGATCCCTGGTCTGGCCAGTGGGATCATTTCAGGTAGTGTGTGTGTGTGTGTGTGTGTGTGTGTGTATCTTTTTTCAAAATTGTCTAATAACATGTTTTCACTTTGTCATTGTGGTTGCTGAGTGCAAATGGACGGTTTTGCCTAAATCTAGAAAAAGTGTGCAACAAGTCTTGGTCTGAATACTTTGTGAAGCCACTGCATATCAGGGACTCCTGACTCTTGTTCATGAGGATGAATGAGTAATGACTACATACTTTGCTAACTGGCACATCTCTTGTCTACATAGAGAACTTGTGGAGCTCCTACCACAGCAAAGGGGATGTGCAGGAGAAAGGCTCCTCTCATGCTGCACATCCAGCGTCCACTCATCAGCCTTACGTGTTTGCTGACATCACCACATCCTTCACACTGTTGGTGGGCATCTTCTTCCCCTCGGTCACAGGTACGTTTTTATTTATTTCCTTTCTTTCTCAAATGTTAAACCAGCTGAGATAAACAGATAAATACGAAGTAGGTGTGATAACATGGCTGCTGTTTTAGGATCAAGTCTTTTTTCATGTCTGTGCTTTGCATTATTCTTGGATTTGAATACATGTTTCAAAGCTTGATATTCAGGGCTTCCATCAAAGGTTTTTAGCCTCTTAAAAGTTTTGAAACTGCAGTGGTTGTCACGGTTTTCTTTTCTTTCTCAGGAATTATGGCCGGTTCCAACCGGTCGGGGGACCTGAAAGATGCCCAGCGCTCCATCCCAATCGGAACAATCTTCGCCATCCTCACCACTTCCATCGTCTGTATCCTTTGCATCGATATAGTTGTTTTCAGTTTCCAGGCACTATAATTCAGAAGTGTCTCAAAGCACCTTTCACACCTTTCTGTCGCAGCATTTAGAAGAGAGTTTTTGTTTAATACTATGTGTAGCAGATGCCACACAATGTGTTCATAAAAAATGCTTTGTTCATGGTTTGAAATAACTGTTAATTGTTAATATTTGAAGACGGTAATTCAGTTCTAAAATAGCTTTTCTTTGTGTTGATATGGAAATTGTCTCCTGTTTTTCACAACATGATTTATATTTTTGATGTTATAAAATGCATCTGTTTCACTTTTTTACCCAGTGTTTTATGACTGTCACTTTAGATAAGGCGATTGGTTGTTTTATTGTACTGGTATGTGTGTTATTTTCCTGAGTGTCGTCCTTCCAGATCTGAGTTGCGTGGTTTTTTTTGGAGCCTGCATCGACGGGGCTGTCCTCAGAGACAAGTCAGTACATCTCCTCTTGTATATACGTGTGCTATGTCCTGTTTTGTATAAGAGAAACATTTTATTGACTATGCTCTGAAACACAGTGATGTATTATTGCCTCCTGCAGATTTGGAGACTCAGTCAAAGGGAATCTGGTGGTGGGGACTCTGGCTTGGCCCACTCCTTGGGTTATTGTGATTGGCTCTTTCTTCTCAACATGTGGCGCAGGCCTCCAGTCTCTGACCGGCGCCCCCCGACTCCTGCAGGCGATTGCCAAAGACAACATCATCCCCTTCCTCCGGGTTAGAGCTGCAAATATTAATGTTCATGACAGGGACCCATAAGGCGACAGCCCACAACTAGATCGTAACTACAGCTGCCCCAGGAAGAAGTATCATGCTGTTTTCTTTGCTCATAAACATGAAAGATAGGTGTATTTTTTGTGCTTCATGCTTAACTAGTGAAGCTTTTAACTAATGGTTAACTCCATCCATCAATTTTCTGCCACTTATCTAGGGCCATGTCATGTTAATTAATAATTATTGCTAAATACAGCTGGGAAATATCTACAATAATGTCAAATTCATATACTTATAGGAAATAGTAGCTCTTTGTGGCCCTACTTGCTCTTGGTTTTTTGTTGACCATTTCCCTGTGGTGTTAAAATGCCTTTAAAAGTGAATGTAGTAACAACTGCAAAATTCTTGTGAAATTATCTGGACAAACAAGTAGCACTTTGGGTAAGAAGAAGAAAAAATGTTGTGTTTTTTGGGTAAACTGTCCCTTGATCAAATTTTTGGTATGATGTACGTGTGTGTGTGTGTGTGTGTCTGTGTGTGTGTCTCGCAGGTGTTTGGCCATGGGAAGGTTAACGGGGAGCCCACCTGGGCCCTGCTGCTGACGGGCGTGATAGCTGAGCTGGGGATTCTCATCGCTTCTCTCGACCTGGTGGCTCCCATCCTGACAATGTGAGACATGACTGTGTGTGTGTGTCTCTATCTCAGTCCCAGTAGTGCAACTTATGTCTTTCTCCTTCCTCCTGAAAACTTTAAAAGGCTTCAGTTTTATTTATTTGCTTTTTTATTTTAGGTTCTTCCTGATGTGTTATCTGTTTGTAAACCTGGCTTGTGGCCTCCAGACCCTCCTTAGGACGCCCAACTGGAGGCCACGCTTCTCCTACTACCACTGGTACTACAACAAACACACACACTCACTGCTACACATAAACACAGTCTGATCTGTGCCTCTGCTACTTGTCTGTGTCCAGGAGCTTGTCATTCTTGGGGATGATTATCTGCCTGGCACTCATGTTCATATCCTCTTGGTACTACGCAATTGTTGCCATGGTGATTGCAGGCATGATCTACAAGTACATAGAGTACCATGGGTATGTTGCCATGGAGATGTAACTCTGACATGATTGTAGATGTATAGTATGGTCAAGAGTGTTGTGTGTAAATGTGTTTTCATGTTTTTTTTTCCAGTGTGAATAGTTTGTGTTTGTGTGTCATGAGATATCACAGTAGTATACACATTACATATCACAGTATATATAGTATCTTCACATCCTTATATATTTCATGTATCAGAGCAGAGAAAGAGTGGGGGGATGGGATCCGTGGTCTTTCTCTCAGTGCTGCCCGTTATGCCCTCCTGAGGTTGGAAGAGGGACCGCCGCATACCAAAAACTGGAGGTACTGAAGCAACAAGGACACTGTCTTTTCATGACTTCCTACATACCCTGTCACATAATTTACTAGAACTCAGTCTAGGTTATTTATACATATGATAAACTTTAGTATTTGTTTTGAATGAACTTACTGTATGCCTTTAAAAGGTGAAGTGTGTCAGTGGAGCAGTATTGTTTTAGTCAAAGATATGTGAGTGAGGAAAAAACCATGTACAGTGGGTA